GGGCAATCCAGCCCACTAATTACAGGTAAAGACATACGTCACAGGAAGGGGCTGCACTATAGGTTACACAGCAATGAGAGGGTGGTCTCTGGGTCTCCATAGGAACATTATCAGTAGGGTGTAAACCCCACCTAGAGGAACCAAGCTAATGGTCCCAAAGCTTCAGAGAGAAGTAGGCCATTGTCCCCAGCAGCAGGGAGCAGGCCCAGCCCTGCTGTGGGATGAGACAGCAGTCTGGCAGCAAGTGTCTGACTTCTCCCCACAACTAACTAACCTTTTTCTCAACACTCTGCCTTAGAGAACAGCACAAACATGACTTACAAGGAGAAAAAAGTTCCACCACCCCCACCCCCAGAACCTGCAACGGATAAGGTTGGAGAATGGAACTATTGACCAGAGAGCTGAGACTTTGACTCCTACCAAGAACTGAGATGGACTGTCCAGTGTGCAGCGCCGGATCCTGGCCAACAGGACTGGCCACGAGGAGAACGCACGATCACCTGCCAGGTGGAATAAGACGGGCAGCAGGATGTCGCTGCAAAATTGACCTATCTTATTACTGCTCATTAGAATCAGGCTGAAATGTGAAACTTTGCAAGGCCCCCAGCTGCTATTAAAAGTGACGCCATTGTCTTTCTCTGAAACTGCATTTTCAATCTTATAAAAATATATGTTATAAAAGTAAAATTTGCACTCTCTCGGTCTTTGTCCCCACCATTTCTCTCTCCCTTTTTTTTCTCTTTTACACACACATCCAAATAGTCCTCAATGATATCAATATCTATTAGAAACTACATTTCTATTAGGAGTCTAGACCATCCAACCCAATCTCCCAGAGGGCGCTCCACTTTATGATTTGGGGCACATCCTCTTCAGGTCTCCTCTGTCCTCGGAGTGGATTGTAGATACTAGGTAGTAGAAGACTGGATCCTGCCAGAGAATTCTGTGAAGTCAGGGATCTGTCATTCCTTGAATGACCTTAATTGTTTCTTGCCTGGAGGTTTTCGTATCTTTCCTTGGTCCCTGATTGAGCCCAGGTCTTCATGTTGAGCATGGCACCATGTCTACACTCCACCTACCTCTAGTGTACACACATGCCCCTGTGCTGTGAAGTGTAGTTGCTCTCCTAGACCCCAGATGGATTCTGGGTGTCCTGGTACCTTTGTTGATCTGCAGGGGTAGTATGATAGAGCATAGTATTTGGCAGATATGAGTTTAACTCTTCCTATGCAGAATGTTTCCTAAAATCTTTGAAACTTGGTTTTCTCACCAAAATGGAAGTCATTATGCTCATCTCCTACTACCACGTTGGGGAGTAAAGGAGCTCCTGCAAGAAAGTCAAATGATTGAGGATGCTCTGCCTTTTGGTTAACATAGCAGTGTGAGGTTCAACATCAAATCTTGGGCTCCTGCCTTAGGGAAGGACCCAGAGCATCAGAACAGTTTTCAATAATTGGCCCTTGTGGCCTCAGGTGGGGAAAGTGAAGGCCATATAGGATGAGTTCCCTGTGTTCCACAATGGCTCATCTTGTCCACCTTTCTCTTTCTGGACCTCCTCTTAAGCCACAAGGCACTACTGAGGATACAGGTCTGCAGAATAGGAAGAGCTTGAGCTCAGATTGAAAGGAGACTCGGGCCTCCAGGAGTAGATGAGGTGATGCTCAGAGGCTGACCTGAGAGTTGACTAAAGCTGGCAGATGAGTGCTTAGTCTAAGAAGGCCCATAGGTCACATGGTATAAAGTTTCATCTAGAGATCAGGGAGGGATACACATGCCTCCCCTTTACCTTCAAAAAGAACTACATAAATGAAAGAATGTCCCATGTTCATGGATAGGCAGACTTAATATTGTGAAAATGTCAATAGTACTACCTAAAGCAATCTACAGATAGAATGCAATTCCAAATCCAAATCCCAATGCATTCTTTAAAGAAATGGAAAAATTAATTACAACTTCATGCGGAAAGGGAAAAGACACAGGATAAGCAAAGAACTTCCTTAAAAGAACCAAGTGGACATCCTTGCACTACTTGACCCCCAAGCTTACTACATAGCCCCAGTAGTCAAAACAATGAGGGACATATAGACCAATGGAACAGAACAGAAAATCCAGAAGTAAATGCATCCATCTACAGGCAACTGATCTTTGACAAAGGACCGAAAACTTGAAAATGGGATAAGCACAGCCTGTTCAACAAATAGTGTTGTATAAATTTGATCTTCATATGCAGAGAATAAAACAAGACCCATATCTCTCCTCAGGCACAAAAACGAACTCAAATGGATTACAGACCTTTAGGATAATCAATGAGAAAAGTGGAAGAAGCTTAAGGACCCTGTTACAGGGCATGCGTAGTCTGCCAAGTAAAACAAAGGCAGCATGCACAAGTGGAAGACAAAACAGATGCCCGCGACATGTTGACCATAAATCACTGATGCACATCAACAGACTTCATCAAAAGAGTGAAACAAGAACCCAAAGCCTGGGAAAGGTTTGTTACCAGGACACAACGGACAGGATCGAATTACCAAAATCTACAGAACCCCACAACAGCTCAATAAGAAAGTAACAAATGAGCCCGTTAAGAAGTGGGCAAAAGACATGAACATGAAAAAATGCTCATGATCATTAGCCACCTGGGAGGTGCAAATTAAAACCACAATGAGATACCATCTTACACCCACAGTGGTAGCCCAATTCAAAATGCTAGAGAGGAGGTGGAGAGAATGAAACTTACATGCACTGTCGGTGGATTTGTAAATACATACAACTACTATGATAAGTGAGATGGCCCTACTTAAAACAACTGGGGATAGAAATCCCATATGATACAACAATACCACTATTGGGCATATACCCTAAAGAATAAAAGACAAAACACGAGTGCATGTATGCGCTCCCATGTTTATTGCAGCACAGTTCATAATAGCAAGAAATGGAATCAGCCCAAATGGCCAACAGTAGAAGAACAGCTAGAGAAACTATGGTATATACACAATGGAATACTAAGCATTCCTAAAATACAGTGATGAACGCATGAAACAGGGCATGGAAGGTCCTGGAAACGGCTGAAGTTACTCAATCACAAAAGGACAAACACTTAGGAGCCCATTACTATAAGGAAAAACACCAAATAAATAAATCAATTTTAGAGACCAATTCCCAAACAAAGGGGTTGAGAGCATGCCTACCATCAATGAACCACACATCACCTCTGTTGCATCCATGTCTTTTTTTTTATTGTTTCATTAGGGGCTCATACAACTCTTATCACAATCCCTACATACATCAATTGTGTAAAGCTACCTTCACGTCTAAGTTCTCACGCATTCTACTCCTACCCTTATAAGCCCAGTACCAATGATCATTGATAGTGTAGGTCGGGGATTCACACAGGGCACAACAAGAATGGCTCATCTCTGCCTTATGTGTTCAGGGGCCTCTGCTGGGTAGACTCAGCTGGTGGGTTTGGCTAGAATCTTCGGAAAGCTTCTCTTCTGACCCGTGGTGGTGGCTCCTGGCTTTGAGCTGGTGTCTTAGCCGACCTGTGCATCAGCACTCGTACGTGTGCCCTTGCTCTGTAGTCTCTCGGATGGACAAGCTAGGGAAATAGTGCTGTGGCTGGATTCCAAAATGGGCGTTCCAAAAGAGCAAGGTGCAGGTCCAGAGAGTTCGTGGATCTAGTCTAGGAATTCACAGAGCATGGCTTGATCCTTCGTCGCAGGCTGCCCAGGTTCAGGAAGAGGGATCATCCACCCATCCCTGCATGAAAGGAGGGCCACCGAGCATGGGGGTGGGGATACCATGTGGCCATCTCTGCCATCTTTCTAAAGAGGGGTTGGGGTTTGAATGATGGATGCTACACAAAAGACACTGGTCAGCTTGTGTCAAGAAGGTTCCTGCATGGAACCGCTCTCAGAATAATAATAGTAATAATAATAAAATAAAATAATAAAAGCTAGAATAATAGAGTCACCACAGGGTGTGGAAAACTTTTCTTGGGCTTCTCCTCTACTTTGTCCAGCATCATGTCAAACATACAGTTATCCTGAAGGTAGGAGGCGGTGGACTGGACTAGTGGAGAAACTGAGTCAGGGAGATGCTTGGAGTGATGTTAGGTCCAGAGAAGGGAAGTGCTCAGGGACGAGAGGCTCGGGTCACCATGGCGTGGGCTGCACATGGTCACTCAGAAGAGAGAAGAGAAGGCACATTCTTGGTGTGGGCCTATTTACTGTTGTCCACTACCCACATACATGAGGGCCCCCCTCCTCTTGGCTGTGGTTCTGGGTCTCTTGCTCTCCCGCAAAGACCTCCTCCAGTCCCCAAACAGCAGACTTCGTTCTCCTCAAAAGGAAAAACCACATCTCTCACCCAGGGCTTCACTGCTTGCTTAACCAAAGCTACTTCCCCTGCAAGCAGCAGATAAGAAGGAGCTCCCCCACATTTGGCCAATGACTGGGCAAGCCCAGGAGCCTTAAACAGACAATGGCTCTGGCTCCTCTTACACACCACTGAAATGGCTCCAGCCTGGAGCCATGTCCATAGCGTGCAGCGCTGCCTGTAATACTTCCATCCCCTGTCCTCCAAGTATGGAGCTCATCTGAGTCCAGATGTTGAGCTGATACAGGAGGCCAAACACACCCTTCACCAACACAAGATTGTGAGGCAATAGCCTTCACCCAGAATGTGTCCCCAGTGTCCTGGCATGAGGAAGGACTTCCAGCACCCCTGAGATGGGCTGTAGGGTTCAGAGGTCAGAGGTACTAAAAGAATTTGCTGTCACTTGTCCAATATCTTTGTAGTGTGGGACCCTTATCTCTGAATCCGCTTCCATTTTACATGAACTCTGTTTCACAACCTCAAAGAAGGAACTACTAGAATCCCACAGCCCTTTTCTCTCAATACAGTGACTTCCTCTGACATCACAAGCTGCAACTCTGTCGACAGAGTAGAGTTCAGGCTTCACAACATGGTCACCCCAGAAAGCTCCAAGGGCCTCCATGATGCTCATCCCGGCTCCCCAGTCCTGCCTGCCTCTCTTTTCCTTGCTGCTGCCTCTGCTGCTGGGAGTCACAGGTGAGTGTGGCCTCCCTCGGGCACCAGAGGAAGGAAGGCTCACCTGAGCGTGAGCTTCACAGAGGTAGCTTCCCCTCCTTGTCTCCAGGTCTCCTGCTGTGACTCTGCTTCTGAAATGACCTCACAGTCAGCAGGCTCTTCTCCTCTGTCTTATCTTCTTTGAGACTGCTGCCCAATTGCTTGCTTTTATACTAAGCCTGCAATTCTTGATCTTCAGCAGCAAGTACTTCAAGCCCTCCTCACTTTCAGCAAGCGACGTTGTGACATCTGCGTCCTGCAGGTTGTTAATAAACCTTCCTTCCATACCAATGCCCCTTTCTTCTTCATATTTCCAGCTTCCTGAATTATTTGCTCAGCGTACAGTTTGAATAAGTATGGTAAGAGGATACTACCCTGACATACACCTTACTCGTTTTAAACCATGCGGTGTTCCCTTGGTCTGTTTGTATCTGTACAACTGCCTCTTGATCCAAGTACAAGTTTGACATGAGCTCAATGAACTATTCTGGGGTTCTCTCTCTTCTCAAGGTTATACATAGTAGGTCATAATCCATGCGGTCAAATGCATTTACATAGTCAATAAAATACCAGTTAACATCTTTGTAGTACTATCTGCTTTCAGCAAAGAATCACCTGTTATCAACAATGATATCCCTTCTTCCACATCCTCTTTGAGTCCAGCCTGAACCTCTGGCAGCTTCTTGTCCATTTATTGCAGTACCATTCTTGGATGCTCTCCAGCATAATTGTACTTTCATGTGATATTAAGGTTATTGTTTCATAATTTGCACATTCTGTTTGATCACCTTTTTGGGGAATGAGTACAAGCATGGGCCTCTTCCAGTCAGTTGGTCAAGAAGGTGTCTTCCCAATTTCTTAGCCTGGACAATTGACTGCCAATCCTGCTTCATCTGCTTATTGAAACATTTACATTTACATATACTGTCAATTCCCAGAGCTTTGGTGTTGACTACTGCCTTCAGGGCAGCTTACACTTCTTTCTTCAAAAGTGCTGGGGCCTTGGAAAGAGGATGGTGGTCCTTGTGGATCGTTCCCCTGTCCACTCTCCAGTGTGCATACCTGGATGTGTGTCCTAGTCTCTTCCTCTCAGCCAGCCAGAAAATGGGTGTGCTTCATCCCATTGTGCAGATAAGCAAACTGAGGCTTCTCCAACGGACCCGCTGAAGCCACACGGTGAGAGGGAGTGAAGCCTCTTTGCTTTTAACCTCTTTGCTCTCTCTCATTATCATGGTCACTTTAATGACAACTATTCAGTCAAATACTTTTGAGGGCCCACTAAGGGCAAAGAGTGTTCTAAATGCTGAGGGTCAGCTGTGAACCCCAACTCTCCTGAAAGTGACTTTTTAGTGAGAAGCAAAAGACAAGCCCAATCCTGGCAAGGCACAGGTTGCAGGGAGGACAGGGAGCAGGATGAGGGAACAGACATCTGAGAGCCCCGCAGAGGAGCAGAGGGCTGACCTAGCTGAGGGAGCACCCCAGGCATTCAGGGAACGAGCACTCCAGGCACAAGGAGCTGCACATGCCAAGGCCCTGCAGCCAGCCTCATCTGGAAGGTTCCGGGAGCAGCCTGGAGGGGGTGTGGCATCGGGGCCAGAGCAAGCAGGGTCTGGGTCGTGGACACGTGGCACCCAGCAGGCCAGCCCATGGCGGGACCATCACTGTGTGCAGCACGATTCTGTGGGACCCACGGATATAGACAGATAAACAGACTGAGGGTCCAAGAAGAAAGGGTACTTGCTCAGGGTCATGTAGCTGGTGAGTGCAGAGCCAGGGTTTGAACCCAGGCCTGTGAACCCTGCTTCACCCTCCTGCTTCCATTCTCACCCCTCCAGTCCCTTCACCTTGTCACCATTGCAATGGGTCAGCTCCCTCAGCCCAGCTCAGAGCCTCCCAGGGGTGCCCTCTGCACTGAGAGTCCGTGCCAGCTCTTCCCTTAGCTTGGAGTGATGGGAGGAGTGGTTAATCATTCCCCAGAAGAGGAAGGGAGGCTCATAGCAGGGAGGACTAGGCCTCTTGTCCGGCTGTCCTCTCTGAGCCTCTCAGTTAGTAACCCAAATGGCTGACACTGGCTTCCTGCTGGATGCGTTTCCAGAGCTGGCCCCACACAGAGCCTGACCCCTGGCCTAGTCCCAACCCCACCCCACCCGCAACCATACCCACAAGCTGTGCCCAGATAGTACATAGCTTGTCCACAGAGGGATGGGCCTCCACTCAGGCTGGGCCCCGAAGCACCCTTTGTCAACACATTAACCCCGGGTGCCTCAGGTGAGGCCTGGCAGCTCACCATGTAGCCTCGTGGTGAGGATGCGTGAGATGGTCCAGGGAAGGAGCTGAGCACACGGCGGGGCGGGGCTTGCTCAGAGTGGGTTGTTGCTGACCGACGCTGGAGCTCACAGACAGGTCCGCAGGATGAGTAACGGCCCTGTGTCCCCTGCAGGAGTGACAAGCCAGGAGGAGCTGCAGGTGATCCAACCTGAGACGGTGTGGGTTGCCCCTGGAGAGACCTGCCCTGCCAGGTCTCCTCTCTGCATCCTCTGGGGCCCACCAAGTGGTTCAGGGGGACTGTCCCAAATCGCGAGCTAATCTATGATTTCAAAGGAATCCAAAACAAACAACACCTCTTACCCCGAGTAAGAAACGCTTCAGACCCCACCAAGAGAGACAACTTGGACTTTTCCATCCGCATCAGTAACATCACCCCAGCCGATGCCGGCACCTACTACTGTGTGAGGTTCAGCAAAGGAAGCCCTGATGACAAGGAGCACAAGTCTGGTCCTGGGACTCGGGTGACAGTGAGTGGTGAGTACAGGGTGACCCCGCCCTGCGTGACAGCTGCTCAGGACTGAGCCTCTGAGCTTTGAGCAACAGCCGTCAGGGGTGCTGGTCCACAGTGTTCATATTCGGGGTCCCCCCTCAGTCCTTCCACTGACCAGGGGCTGAGGCCACGGGGTCCTGCTGTTTGCTCCAGGCCCCCAGCTGGAAGCAGGAGGAGAAAAGTCTGCTCCGGAGCCTGGTCCTTTCCAGTCCGGTTCCCGCAGAGCAGGGCACTGACAGCCTGGGAGCTCCAGGCACAGCAAACCCACCTCCTGCCCCAGCTCCTCCCTGCACCGTGCTCCTGTCTCCGTTACTGGACAGACGTGCGCTGAGCCCTACTGTGTGCAGCCCTGCTCTCAGTGTCACAAACAGCGAGGACAACATGAGGAAGCTCTCCCCTCACGGAGCTTCCCTTCTCTCCCCTCGAAGGAGCAGAGGGTGGGCACAGGGCAAGGAGGGGGTGGGCGTCTTTATTTCAGAGTCAGACACTTCCCAGGGAGGGAGAGCCTGAGAGGCAAAGACCCACTGCTTGATGGCGAGCCTGGTTGGGGGCAATGTCCAGAGGGCAAGCCAGGCCATAACCCCTGTAGGGAACCCCCTGAGACAGAGGGAAGACACCACGACTCACCAACAGCACAGAGGGCCCGGGACCTGGGCACTCATCCCAAATGTCACTCAGCCACAGAGCAGGCCCACAGGTCAGGCTCTGATGCTCCAGGTGAAGCAGCTCAGTCCTGGGCAAGGCTGGCGTGCAGTAGGTGCTTAATGAAAACTCTTTGCACCAACCCACTGAGCAGGAGCCCCCATTGCCTCGTTCCATCAAATCCCCAAGGCTGAAAAGGCCCCTTCCCCTCAGATCCCAGATCTCTGGTGACTGGAAATCACTGTCAAACTGCACCCAGACCACTGTGTACCCACCTTTTCTGTGTGGACAGTACATGTGCTCTGTTCATAACGACTGCAGGATGCCCCGTAGTGTGGAAAGGGCCTCACTTACTCCCGGGCTGTCCTCAATCTTGGGACTTCCACCCAGAGCTGCCAGGGTGACCCATGTGCTCGACCTCCTCAGCCTGGGTGTTGTTGATGGGGAGGAAAGGCAGTTTATCTGAAGTGTAGTGGGACAGACGCCAGCCAGACACTGCGGCAGAGTTTCCCACAGCCCCGGACGTGGGCGGGGCGGGAGAAAGGGAGCTGCGTCCTGATCCCACGACGTTGCGGGCCCAGGGCTGAGGTCCCACAGGGCGGCCTTTCTCAGTGGGAGCCGGCACTGCAGCCGGTGTCTCAGCCTGACCCACAGCGGCTCTCTCCGCGTGTACATCCTTCCTCTCTGGTAATGAGAGGACTCCCTCAGGTCCCCTGACGGCTTTCCTTTTAACCAGCTCTGAGAGGGAGGGATCTGAAACTCTGAGAGGGAACCTGTCTGTGGACAGCGAGGGGCGGGGCTCACATTTGAACCCCAGTAACTTGATTACCCAGCCCCTGCTCTCTGCAGCACCCCCTGTGCTGGTCGGGGTGTGGGGGGTGCTCCATCCCTCCCTGTTCCAAATGCTCGGGTCCTCTGTTTTGCAGCAAAAAACAAAAACCAAATTCACTGCCATCAAGTGGGGTCCAGCTCATAGTGACCCTAGAGGACAGGGTAGGACCGCCCCTGTGGGTGTCTGAGATTGTGACTCTTTACTGGGACAGACAGCCTCACATTTGTCCCTCAGGGTGGCTGGTGACTTTGACCTGCTCTCCTGTAGTTAGCAACCCAGTGTAACCACTATGTCACCAGGACTCCTTCTGGCAGCAATAAGCATTAAAAAAAAAATAAGAGTGACTGTCCCCAAGGGGCAGAGGAGCTCCTTTATAACCCAGACCACACAGACACTGCCCCAGCTCAGGGTGTGCGCCCCCTGCCCTACAAGAGGCTTCTCAGCAGCCTTGTAACCCCTGAGGCATCTTCCCCCCACTGCCTGGACCAGCTCCTCCCTGTGCAGCCAGGGAGCCAGCGCAGTGCAGGACAGCAGTGATGGGACAGAGAGGGGTCCAGGACCACCAAGCGCCCACTGCCCAGTGCTGAAGACCGAGGCAGTCCCTGCAGGGTGCTGGGGGTTCCGGGGGAGCAGGAGTTTATATCCCAGTCCCACTTGGTCAGAAACCTAGTCTCACCCATTTATCACAGCAGAGTAACCGGCCTGTGCACAGAGGATGAGGAGGGACATGGCTGACTATAGTCACTGAAGCCAAGAGTGGCACAGGGTCAGTGTCAGGGTCCTGAAGGTGGCCACTCGCTCTCTGGTGGCATGTGAGGGCTGAGGCCATGGGAAATTCCCACGGGGACAGTCGCTGTGCCCAGGAAAGTTCAGGTTTCCCATGGACAGGTAAGACTTCTGTTAGGACTTCTTTCTGCATGATGTCGTTACTGACCGTATGCTACCTGAAGAAATGGCTGAATGTCCACCCATTACTTCGGGTTTGTAACTGTTTTCCTTTCATCTTCTCTTGATGCCCCCTGTTTCATTCGATATGGCTCCTCAAGCCATGCTCCCCAACCCCCACCATTCTTTCTACTTAAGAGTTGCTGAACATGTTCAACTTTCACCTGCAAGTCGGCACATATCATTATAATCTTCTACTTTGTCCTCTCAAGGTGTCCTGTGAGATTTTCTGTCCAGATCTCCAACTTTGTCATTTCTTCCATTTGCTTTAGCTACTCTGCATTCAAGAGCAAGTTTCAGGCTCCCTTCTGCCATCCATTGAGGACTTTTCTCTGATTCTAGACATCTGGTGACCTTTTGCTTTCTGCAGGATTTGCTGACTTCTTGATGTTCCTGATATCATCCCACAGCTGGTCAGATCATTGTCCTTAGTTCCAGGGTCAGACGTATTCTTGAGATGCTCTCTCCATTCATGAGGGACATACTCAAGGTTCTATGTTAGCTCTTGTGGAACTCTCCTTGTCTTCTGCTTCCTCCTGAATTCGCATATGAGAAATTGATGGTCTGTTTCACAGTCAGCCCCGGTCTTGTTTGGGCTGATGACACTGCACTTCTCACTCGCTCTTCCCTCAGATGCAGGCTGTTTGATGTCTGTACAGTGCGTGTGGGAGTTCCACTTGCAGTCGCTGTTATGTAGTTGGAAAAAGTGCCCTCGCACTGAAGAAGTTGTTGGCAAAATTCTCTCATGGGATCTGCTGCATTGATTCTACCACCAAGGCCATAGTTCCAACCCTCTGTGCCTTCCTCTTTGCGCTAGCTTTTGTTTCCCAATCATCAGTAATTGCTTGTGCATCTGATGGCGTGTGTCACCCATTTCCAACTGAAGAAGGAGGTAAAAGTCTTCAATTTCTTCATCATCAACTTAGTAGTTGCTGTGTAAATTGGAATATTATTCATATTATCTAGGTCTTTTACAAACCTATGGATAGTATCTCATCACAGACAGCATTGTACCTGAAGATAGACCTTGAAATATTCTTTTCAATTATGAATGGGACATCATGCTTCTTGAATTTTCCATGCCTGGCATAGTAAGCCATGCCTTCGTCCTGTTCCCAGTGGCCAATACCAGTCCATTTCCAGGTCGTTCAGGTCTATGAGAAGTGATCTTTATGCATTCCACTTCATATCGGATGCCTTCCACTCTTCCTAGATTCCTTCTTTGTTCATTCCATGTTCTGGTCATTAACGGTCATGTGCAGCTGCTTCCTCTCATTTTCAGTTATGCCCCAGCAGCAGATGAAGCCATGGAAAGCTTTGCTCGGACCACATCATGGAGGTCACCTGTGAGGAGTCAAGCCTTTCCCCGGACAATTTTAGTGCTTTCTAGCCCAAAGTGCTCATCCTCTGGTTCTATATCAAACAAGGTTTTGCTGCTATTTATAAGGTTTTCAGTGGCTAATCCCTCAGAAGTAGATCACCCATCCTTTCTTCCTTGTGTATTTTAGTTTGGAAGCTTTGTGGAAACCTGAGTTTTCACCATCAGTAACCCTGCTGGTATTTGACAGACCAATGACATAGTTTTCAGTCTCACAGCAACACGCAAGCCATCTCTGTTCAAAACCTGAGAGGTGCGTGAGGGTAAAAAAATACTAAGTGTGTTTGACAGGCCTTTTTGGTCTTGAGCATGACACAAGCTTTCTACGTTATAAAATAGACATAGTTCAAACTAACATATAGAACTAAAATGTTAAAATGATTTGCTGTTAAAATCAGTTATTTAAAATAACTTATATAAATATGAAATGTAATGTTTATTATTGTAAGGTAATGTGGAAAATGATGTTTGTAAAACAGTCTTGTTTGATTATGTATAAATGTCTTAAAAGCAGTCCATTTTCACCCCCACTGGCACAGATTAATAATGTAAGTTCAGATCTAAAGATTGACAGGAAGAAGCACACGTATTGAGAGTCGGGTATGTCTTTAGTAGAGTCCTTTAAGTTTTGAGTGCCCCAAAATGGGTTTTCTCAACTCCATTGCTGACACCAGGCAAGCCTAATAATACTTGGCACACAGCATTGACTGTGCACCTTGTTAACAGAGAAGTGAGTAACATTTAAATAATGCTTTAGCGAGCTAGAGATAGAAATGTACTAGCGTTCCAAGAAGTCTTCTAGCTTTTTATGTTTAGTCTTTAAAGGAATATTAATCACACTCAGCTTTTCACTCTCTTTTCCCAAAGGCTAGATTCCCCAGCTACAACATCATACCCACCCTCTACATGGTTGCTGAGGTTGCCCATTTTTTGCAGAATCAAATAGCCTCATGTTTCTCCAACAGAGTGACTGGTGGGTTTGAACTGCCAACCTTGCAGTTGGTAGTCCATCACTTACCCTGAATTGTCCAATCCCATAGCCCTTAAAATGACCATTTCCACAATCTGCAAATGCCTCAGGTTGGGGTCTGTCAGTCTTCTGGTATACATCATCCTACTTCACTGAGGATGAAAATATTAATGGTTCTCCCACATCCGGCTTCTCCAACCCTCATTGAGGGAGTCTT